TCAAGGAAACCTGGCTAACACACTGGCACGTCTTAATAACAGCCCTGTAAGGTGGCAGCATTCACTCCATTATAGAGAAGCAGAGCTGGGATTATCTAAGTGCTAAGTCATTCTTAGTGGGTTCAAATCACCGCAGCTACATCTCCTACCACACCTCATTGCTTCTAACACATTTTTCCTTCAACTACTGAAAGCCTACCTGTCCTCCCAGCCTAATGCGTAAAACAAAAATAAAAAACAGAAAACGAGGCACTAATTAGAACCTCTAATTTGTATAAAATAATACTGCTTAAAATCAATTGAAAAGTGATTTTAGAAGGCATAAGCTAGAAAGAGATTTGTTGCTCTATAAACTTAATATAAAAAAGGATAAAGACTGTTCTTAGTATAGTAGACATGGCAAAATGTAAAGGAAACATAGAAACAATTATCCAAAGATCAGCAGTCTCATTGTGATCTATAGACACAGGATAATCACCATCTCCTGGAAAAGTGTTAGAAATGCAAATTATCCAGGGGCCCTCCCTGGTGAGCAAGGGGTTAAAGCCCAGCTCTATGAAGGCATCTGCAACCACTGCGCTCTAGTTCCATCCCTGGCCAGGGGTGTGACCCACATGGCGCGACAGACCTCTCCTGACCTTCCGCTGCTCCCCTCAGCAGTGTACTTTGGGGACCTGCCAGTTCTGTTCCCGTGAATCCTTTCACACACCTCAACCTCTTGCCTGTATCCCAGTTCTTACATACATAAATATAAATCTTTAAAGGAAAAAAAAGCAAATTATCCAGATGCACTCAGGGATTAAATCACAGGTGCTGTGGGTGAGCTAAACAAACTGTTTTTTACAGGTCCCCCAGATGGTTCTAATCCATACAATGTGAGATGCACACTCAAATTTAAAACAAAATTGTGTAAATATAGCAGCCTCAAAAACAGAGAAAGGGAGCTGAAGGGGAATTGACTTATTAGGTATAGGAAAACTAAAATTCCATTTTACTGAAATTGTATACATTTCTATGGCTAAATACTCAGCAGTCTAATCAATGTGTTATATTTCTTGCATGAACTAAACAAATGTGTTAAACCACTCACATACCATAATTATAAATACAAAGTAAAATAAACGAACATTGAGGCAAAAACTAGAAGGAAATACAAAAAAATACATGTTGATAATGAAACTGTCTTTTTAAACTAATTGAATTTTAAAGTCAAATTAGGTAGGCTGTGTTATTCCCATCTGTAGGGTAAATTGTAGGGCAAATCACTAATCCATAGCCTCTGTGGTTATCATCTTTGGCCTTACTCTTGTTCATGCAGCAAGCGTAGGGAGCGTGGGCTTGGGGCCACGGGAGCCTGACTGGGCACCTGGAGTTTGGGTGTGCGCATGCGTAATTGTGCACACCTGTGCCTGGAGGCCAGGGTTATAAGGGCTGCATCACCTGAGCCAGCTGGCTACAGGAGGGTGACCACAGCCTGGAGCGAGCTCAGAGAGAAAACGAAGGTTCTTAGGGGTTGGTGTGCTCCGTTGCCTGCCTGCCTCCCAGCACCCACATGCCTCTTCTTGCATGTGAGCATGCCAGCCTCCCAGCCTGGTGTGCCTGTGTGCCTGGTTCCCTGAGAGTATTAAAGCTCGAAAAATCCACCGAGAGCTCTGGGACTCCTGCCCTGTGCTTGCTGGCACCAGAACACTTAGAAGAACAGATTCAGAGGAGGTAATTTGCCCAAGGACCAAGAATTAGTAAGTGCCATGAACTGGGCTTAAATTGGGAGTTTATGTTCAAGTTCAACTAGCTATTATTATACCATGCAGTCCTGAAAAGAGTTACATCATTTTACAATACAAAATGTTCTGAAAAGCTCGAGGGAGTAGGGAGGACATAAAGAGATGCGAGGCCAGTAAAATCAAAAGTAGGTTTTTATTTCTGCGCTCCCTGGTGAGGTCCACTGACCCCAGATAAAGTTGAGGCCTAGGTTGGGGAGAAATGGCCAGGTGGAGAATTTTTTTTTTTTTAAAGATGTATTTATTTTTGCATACAGAACTGGGGTACAGGCTCAGGGGCAGTGAGAGGCTTCACCATAGACAGAGCGGGGAACAGAACAGGCAGATGGACGAAGTACACTGCTAGGGGGAGCAGCGGGCGGGTGAGGAGAGGTCTGCCACGCCATGTGGTCACCTCCGGGGCAGGCGGGAATCGAACTCATGCGGAAGCGGCTTTAGATTCTCAGTAATGTGCTTTAACCCGCTGCGCCTTCAGGGGGGGCCCAGGTGGAGAATTTTGACAAGGGACTAGAACTTATTTTTCTACGTGAACCGGGCTTGGGTGAACCGGGCTTGGGTGAACTGGGTGTGACAAACAAGCCATGAGGTTATCACTCCCGGATATCTGCTTCTGGTTGGAGCAAGTGCTTTGGCTGGTGTCTGACTTTTTTTTTAAAAAGATTTATTTATTTGTGCATACAGAACTGGGGTACAGGCTCAGGGGCAGTGAGAGGATTCACCAGAGACAGAGTGGGGAACAGAACAGGCAGATCGACGAAGTACACTGCTGAGGGGGGCAGCGGGGGCAGCGGGTGGGTCAGGAGAGGTCTGCCACTCCATGTGGTCACCTCCGGGGCAGGAGGGAATCGAACTCATGCGGAAGCGGCTTTAGATTCTCAGTGCTGTGCTTTAACCCGCTGTGCCATCAGGGAGGGCCCGGTGTCTGACTCTTACAGTTCACACATATAAATATATATTAAGAGACTCATTAGTTGAAAAGTAGTTGAAAAGGAAAGGAAAAATGAATTGTTACATATTCAGACACTTGAGCAAAAGATGTGCTTTCATACTCTAAATAATGCCACACATAATGTGGTGATGCATAATACTTGAGGAAAGCTGCAAATCCAAAGCCCAAGGAGCAGCAATAAGAACTGTCAAATTTTCAAAAACAACAAAACCAGTGAATCACCAAAATAGTAAAAAAATTGTTAAGCTCACATTAGAGTTTGCAAATTGGGAGAACTCACATTAGAGTTTGCAAATTGGGAGAACTCAAAAACTTGAAACTCGCGGGTATACTGTTATAAAGCAGCTTATGTTATGTGAAGGTGTGAAGGCGTTGTCTATTCACAGTAACGGATTATAATATTATAATTCTCAAATAATGATTGATCAGTGGTTGCCTCATAGCAACCTCGGGGAAGGTTAAATTTTATGAGCTCGAGACACCATCAAGAAACAGCCCAGCTAGTCTGGCAAAATAAGCTAAATTAAGCTTTGCATATCTAAGTGGTTTTGTCTGTTCAAGGAAGGTTTAAGGCTGACTCCTTTGGTTTTTTATTTTAACAGCCAATTAATTGGTCTGTTAAGTCCTTCTAAAAAATGCTTTTCACACTTCATCCTTCTAGTTGAGAAAACTGGAAGAGAAAATGATACAGCAGTTCTTCTAAGCCCTCTTTGAATACACGCCCCGAGAGCCACGTTCCTTTCTTTTATCCACCATCCAACACCTTTTTTTTTTTTATCCCCCCCCCCCCACTCTACT